TTCCTACTATTGAAATTCTCTGCTTTATTGTGTTGCTGTCATCCTATAAGACGTAGTATACATGTCACCTCTGAAAATGGGTTCTTTGTGTTCATCACACTGTATCATAATTATTTTTTAAGATTTATTTATTTTTATTGGAAAGTCAGATATACAGAGAGGAGGAGAGACAGAGAGGAAGATCTTCTGTCTGATGATTGATCCCCTAAGTGGCCACAACGGCTAGAGCTGAGCCAATCCAAAGCCAGGAGCCAGGAACTTCGTCTGGGTCTCTCACATGGGTGCAGGGTCCCAAGGCTTTAGGCCACCCTCAACTGCTTTCCCAGGCCACAAGCAGGGAGCTGGATGCAAAGTGGGGCTGCCAGGATTAGAACCAATGCTCGTATGGAATCCCAGGCGTGCAAGGTGAGGACTTTAACCACTACACTATCGTGCCAGCCCTATTATAATTCTTTTTAATCCCCTGGTGTACTTTTAGGTCCCTAGGAGCTAAGACTGATTTGTATTTCTGTTTTCCCCATGCATATTGCGTGGTCAGTCACATACATATGTTGTCTGCCTGTTGCCCCACCAGCTGTCTCTAGGAGGAAAACAGTAAGAACATAATCTTACTATTAAAAGGGCAGTGACTATTTGTGTAGCTAGACCTTAGTCGTCCTGACTGGATTAATGGTAAGCTGCTAATGTCTGTGTAAATGACATAAATGTAACTACAGTGGGCATGCGTCATCTGGAGGCTGCATAAGGACACTGTGGCGGTGAGGAATCTGAAGTCTGAAAGACTTGAACATTCCCAGATCATTCCACGGACAAACGATGGTCGCTTCAGCAAGTGCTATTGGATAAGCTGTGTGTCCCTGTGTAGAAGAATGGAGTTGGACTTCTCACTTACACCTGAAATAAAAAATCAGCTCAAGGGGAAAGCTTAATGACTTGGGATTTGGCAGCAATTTCCTGGATGTAATATTAGAACCACAGTCAACAAAAGTAAAAACAGATTGGATTACATCAAAAGTTAAAAACTTGCATGCATCAAAGGGGCACAGTAAAGTAGAAGTGCAGTCTGTGTTAAGTGGTATGAAGTTAGTATCTGACACTTCCAAAGTCCTCATAACTCAATGACAGAGCATTTTTTTAAATGAGCAAAGGACTTGGATAGATAATTCTGTGAAGCTAATATAACCATTACCCAAAAAAACATGAAAAAAGTGTTTAGTATCTCTTCACCATTTGGGTAGGGCAAACCAAAACCGCAGTGCAGGTTGGGCTTCATGTTGCAGTTGGTTAAGCGGAAGCGTGGGCTACCCACGTCCTGTACTAGAATGCCTGCGTCTGAGTCCTGCCTCTGCTTCCCGTCCAGCTTCCTGCCAATTACAGCTTGCGAGGTTTAAGTGTTGTTCCTGACTCCTGGGTTTCACATGGCCAGCTCCATTGTCACGGACATTTGGGGAAATTAAACAATAATTTGATTTCTGTTTTTCTCTCTTGATCTCCTGTTAGTATAAGTGAACTTTAAAAATCTGCAGAAGATATTATCTCACACCCTTTTGATGGCTACTACAACACACACACACAATAAGTAACAAGTGTTGGGTAAGATGTGAAAAAATTGGAACTTTTGTATACTGCTGATGGGTATGTGAAATGGTATAGCCACTGTGAAAACAGTATGGTACCTCCTGAGAAAATTAAAAATAGAATACGATTTAGTAATTCTGCATCTGGGTATATATCCGAAAGATTTGAAAGCAGGATCCTGCGCAGACATCTGCACCGTGTGTTTAGAGCAGCGTTATTCACAATAGTCAGGAGGAGGAAGCAACTCCGTGTGCTTCAGTGAGGCGCTGAAGGAGAGTGTGTGTGCGTGTGTGCATAGGCGTGCGTGTGTGTGGGGTATTCATGCCACAGTACTTCAGAAGGTTGGTGTACAGGTGGGATTACAGCAAAGTTTATGTTGCTACAAAAAGAGTTTTAAATCCATGCATGGTTTTTAAATAATATTCTTTTCCATAAACTCTTTTGAGGAGACCTCTGTGTGTGGATTTTTCTTTTTCTATTTTTTTTTTTTTTGCCTCAAGTTTATCTTGTAATTCTGTTTTGTGAACATTTTTGTTTGTTTATATATTTTTTTCGGAAATGTTTCCACTGGAGCAGGTGAATGAAAGTTTAGAGACAGTGAGTGTCAGTAGTTCAGACAGCATTTGTTTATTATAGAAGAGGCATGGAAATTATTTTCATGAAAGCTCCATGTGTTGCCATTTCAATAGATTTCAATCTGCATATCTTCCAACAATGTCACTATCTCTAACTAGAAAAGAATGCTTGTCATCCAGAGCTACTTTGGTGCCTCCCTATTCTGGGAGAAGGACTTTATCTCCAACTTGCACATTAACTGGTTCAGTCTCCACCCTTTCCTTTGGAGCCTGATCCAACAGCTACTGCTGTTGCCTGCACTGCTTTTCCTTGAGATTTTTCTGGGGACATAATGCCCCCTTTCGTTCAGTTTCCGTGGCATTCATTCAACCAATACCGGGTCCAAGAGGAAAAAACTTCTTAAACATTTGTCAGACCTTGGCCGCAGGAGTACAGCTCCAGCTCTGCTCCCGCGTCCCCACCCTGCGAACATCTTTAGTGATGTTTTAAATGAAATTTTGTTCAGCCTTAGAAAGCAAGAAAATTCCAACATATTCTACAGCATGGGTGAACCTTGAAGACTTGTTAAGTGAAATAAGTTAGTCACAAAAGGCCAAGTACTGTATAATTCTTATATGAGATGTTTGGTCAGATACATAAAACCGAAGTTGAACAGAGGTTGATAGGTGCTGGGGGTGGAATAAGGAGATATTGTTTAATGGGTATAGCATTTCAGGTTTGCAAGATACAAAATTCTTCAGCTTGGTTGTCAAAATGTGAATGTATGTAATATTACTGAATTGTACACACAGAAGTGGCTGAGATATTAACTACTGTGGTATGTATTTTTTAGCATAGTACCACAAAAAATCCAAGAATAGGGATCTTTCATATAATCATAATTTACAAGCAGCAGGTCTAAGATAGAATTACTGCTTCTTATTAAACTTTTGTTTTCAGTTTCTTGGCCGAGTTATGGGGAGAAGTACACAGTTTCCACCTGCTTCCTGATCCTACATGTGGGGGCAAGCCTTCGCCTCCATGGACTCTCCTGCCCAGAGTCACACATTTGTTAGAATTGATAAACCTGGACCCGGTGCTGTGGCCTAGCAGCTGAGGTCCTCACCTTGATCTCTTGAATACTCTGGGATCCCTTTTGGGTGCCAGTTGTAATCCCGGCAGCCCTGCTTCCCATCCATCTCCCTGCTTGTGTCCTGGGAAAGCAGTCGAGGATGGCCCAAAGCCTTGGGACCTGCACCTGCATGGGAGATCTGGAGGAAGTTCCTGGCTCCTGGCTTTGGATTGGCTCAGCTCCCGCCTTTGCAACAGATGGAGGATCTTCCTTTCTGTCTCTTCTTTCTGTATATCTGACTTTCCAATAAAAGTAAATAAATCTTAAAAAAAAATAAAGGAATTGATAAACCTACATCCACACATCATTGGTACCCAGAGTCCATATTTTGCATTAGGGCTCACTCGTGGACATTTATGGAGTTTTGACAAACATATAATGATGAGCATCAGCCATGGTATTACTACAGGAAGTCATTTTTCTGCCCTGAAAATGCTCAATAATACTCAGCACATTTGTCCCTCCCTCTCTGCTGAGCTCTGGCCACCACTGATGTTTTCACTGTCTCCATAATTCTTCCTTTTCTGGAATATCCTATAGTTAGAATCATCTATGGGGTGGGTTTTTTCAGATTAACTTCTTTCATCTAGTAACGTATTTAAATTCTCTTGTCTCTTTGTGAGTTGATAGCATCTTTATTTTTTGAAAAGAGGTTTACTTTTTTGAAAGGCAGAGTTACACAGAGGGGGAAAGATAGACAGAGATCTTCCATCCACTGGTTAACTCCTCAAATGAGCATAATGGTCAGGGCTGTGCCATGCCGAAGTCGGGAGCCTGGAGATTCCTTTGGGTCTCAGGGTGCAGAGCAGTTGAAGGAAAGTTTAGAGACAGTGAGTGTCAATAGTTTAGACAACAGTAGTTCGTCATAAAAGAGGCAGAGGCCTAGGGTGCAGAGACCCAGGAGCGTGGACCATCTCTCTGTTAGTGGGGCGCCGTATCCGAGGTTGAGCAGTCAGGTTTTGAACTGTACGCATGTGGGATGCTGGTGTCACAGGCAGCCGTTTAACCCTGTCCATCACAATGCCAGTTCTAATGACTCTTTTATTTTTAGTGCTGAATTCTAATTGCTTGCCGAGGGACATTCTGATTATCCCCAGATTTTGACAATTAAAAATAATGCTGCTATCAACATCTTTGTGCACATCTTTGTGTGGGTAGTTTTTTAATTCATTTGGGTAAATACCAAGGAGCACAGTTTCTTTACTGTGTGTTGAGTGTGTAAGAAACTGCTGAAATGTCTTCCAAAGTAGCTGTACCGTTTTGCACTCCTGTTAGTGGTGAATGAATGTTCCTCTTGCTTCACATATTCTGCAGTGTTTAGTGTCAGTATGTTGGATTTTGTCTATTCCAGTACTTGCAGGGTGATTTCTCATTGTTTTTGTTTTATCCTATTGAAAGGCAGCAAGCCAGAGAAATTAAAAAAAAAAAAGAAGAAGAAGAAAGAAAGAAAGAGAGGGGGAGGGAAGGAGGGAGGCAGAACCTTGCATCTTGTTGGTGCACTCCCCAAATGCTTGTATTAGCCATAGCTGGTTAGACCAAAGTCAGGAACCGTGATTCCCTCTGGGTCTCTCCTGTGGGAGGCCGGAACCTAAGTACTTGAGCTATCACCTGCTTTCTTCCAGGCTGTGTGATTAGAAGTAGAGGGGCTCAGACTTGAACCTGGGACTCTTCTGGGGGATGTAGATGCCCAGAGCAACACCTCAGCAGTTGCTCCAGCTATCTAACTCCCTCATTCATTTGCAGTTCTCTAGTGTTACATGTGGTTTAGCATCTTAACTTGCCCTGTCAGTCATTTGATGAAATGTGTATTTGGGAATTTGCCCACTTCTTAATTGGGTTGTCTTCTTGTTGAGTATTAGGAGTTCATAATAGATTTTGGGTAGCACTGTTTTAGCAAATATTGTCTCTAATCTGTGGCTTATCTTGTTGTTCTCTTAAAATTGTTTTTTACAGAAAGAGTAGACAATTGAAACCCAGCTTGTTGATGACTTTCAAGGATTGCTGCTTCGGTGGGGCATCTCAGTTCTCCCCTGCCCAGGGCCATTTACGTTTTTTTCCTGTGATTTTGCACAGGAGTCTCTGATGCATTTGAGTTAATTTGGGGAAAAGATTAAGATCTGGGCCTGGTGTACTGCTTACTGAAGGCTCAGAGCTGAGTCTCCCCAGGAATTGCCTAAGCCAGAGAGGGAGTTGCTGTGTCTGTGATTCTTACATTCCCACCTAGCAGATGCCTTATGGCTGATGAGCAAGGGCACACATGTTGGGGTTTTGATGTTGCTGGCCTGAGTGAGCCCCTTGCCTCAGTTTAGGAGATTTCGGAAGGGATTGGCCAAGGACTGTCATGCAAGAACAGCGTTGGAGCTCTGCGCAGTCCCGCTTCCTTCACCTTCTTTGCTGCACAGCCTCCCTTTGCTGCAGGCTTCTGTCTTGGAGACTTCCTTACAGACCCAGTCCAGCACTGTGTTTTTATTTTACCTTCTTGAACTAGTAGAATATTTTTTTTTCTTTTTTTTAGTTTTCAAGACTTGCATAAAATGATTACTAGTTCCCTCACTAACTTGAAATCTTTGAGCTCTGGGATATTTACATGGCATTTTTCAAGCCAGTATTTTTATAAGAAATTAAAGAATGCATAGAGGTAAGATTTCTGAGAAAGGCCATATTGGCATTGTTGATGACTTTCTTTCCTCATTGATCTCACCAAATGCTTAAGATTTTAAGGTAACATAGTCTTTTTAACTGTCTCAAGCTAATTTAGGCGTACTGGCTTTGAAATATCCAGTAATCCTCGTGTTATTGTTATCTCAGCTGTTTTCTACCCTTATTTTACGGTAGTGATACCCGTAAGAAGCAGCAATTGAGTCATTACTACAGAAACAGAACAAGGAACAGAGTGGGTGTGGAACACAAATGGGCAACAAATGTTCCTACAACTCAGTGATTGTGATCAGAATTGTGGTGTAGCTCATGCCCAGTAAGCATTCACTAAAAACTTGGTTGCCAAAACCCATGCTGTCCTCAGGACGCACATGGTGACTGTTTCTGTCACCAAATACCTTCCGTTATAGGAGACAAAAATCTCAATGTAGTGACGCATTATCTAGTACTCTGATCCTCTACTATTGCCCTGTGGATGAAAATACAGACAAATAGTCTGCTCCTTTTTGTGTCAGGATAGTCGTTATGTGTAAAAAGCGACCTGATAAAGAGGTTTATGTAAGGAGTACAAGTGTAATATAAATTAGAATTTATGGGATTTGGATGATTATAGAACCACCCAGCAATAGAAATCTGGTCTAGAAAGACTTTAGGATATATGCAGTCCAACTATTTGAGTAAATTTGATTCTAAAGAATCCTAAAGCAAGTGAGGCAGGACCCTGCTACTCTGTGTCCTTACTGAGGAATCCTGTGTGTCTCCAAGCTGAGCCCCGGAGTGTCACACCGAAGCATCAGCTGCCTTCGTTTTATACTCTGTGAATATAGTAGAGTCCCTCACATTTACCAAGCAATTTGGTAAATTGCACGGTGTGGGCTTCCTCAGGAGACCCCAAGAAGCTTTTCGAGAATCTTCAAGGCCAGAGCTGTTTTCAGCACAGCTAAGAAATTATTGCATTTTTGTGGTTGTCTTAACTTGCACCGATGAACCCCAAGACCCAGTGGGTGAAATTGCTAGTGTCTGAGGTAGTCATATTCTTTTGCCGACATGAATGTGCAAAGGAAAAAGTTTCACCTACTGTCTTTGATAAAGCATTGAAAGATTTGAGCCTTTTGAATGTTGTGTGTGACACAGTAAAGGTGTGCATAAAGCATTCAGCTTGCCAGAGGGCCAGTGGTTGTCTTGAGGAAAAGTCTGTGTGTGATTGAATTGTAGTCAGACTAGCTGGAGGACCCTCCTTTTTAAAGAGATGTGACTTTTTAGTGTGGATAGTGACAGGCACATTGTGCTTATGTTTAGGACGTATTTGGAAATCCTCTTCCTTCAAGTAAGATAACTGGCAGTGTTAGTTGCTAGTGATTAAATTCAATATTTTTAGCATAAACTAAGTGGGGGAAATTTTTGTATGGCTTTCAGTTCCTTAAATACTTTTATGATTGAAACCAAATATAACAAATGGTACTTTTTTAAAAAAAATATTTATTTTTATTAGAAAGGCAGATTTACAGATTAGTCAATGCCAGCTCCACAAATGGTACTTTTTAAATACTATATAATATAGAAGTAGAAATGAGCTTCCAAAGCATGGAAGATCAGCATAAACCACCGCAGAAGTGTTTTTTAAGTGTCCAGTGCCTATTGTTTTCAAATCATACACATGTGGAAGAGTCACTCAGAGAACAAAGATGATCAATGGATTTTAATATAACAGTATAGGAAAAATTCAGGCATATGGTTTTACATTCAACATTGTGATTAAATTTTTAACAAGTATTGCTGATCAAGTTTCTGTGTAGTATCAAAGTACACAAAATGAAAATGAAAAAGCAATAACCACGTAAGCCAGATTTTTTTTTTAAGATTTATTTATTTATTGAAAAGTCAGATATACAGAGAGGAGGAGAGACAGAGGAGGAGAGACAGAGAGGAAGATCTTCCATCCGATGATTCACTTCCCAAGTGAACGCAACGGCCTATGCTATGCCGATCCGAAGCCAGAATCCAGGAACCTCTTCCGGGTCTCCCACACAGGTGCAGGGTCCCAAAGCTTTGGGCCGTCCTTGGCTGCTTTCCCAGGCCACAGGCAGGGAGCTGGATGGGAAGTGGAGCTTCCGGGATTAGAACCGGTGCCCACATGGGATCCTGGCGTGTTCAAGACGAGGACTTCAGCCAGTAGGCCACGCCGCTGGGCCCAAGCCATATTTTTTCATATACTTTTATCAAAGTGATAATTGTGACAGATGGAGTACAGAAGTAGATGTGAGATCCTGCTTTCATAAAAAGATTTCTTCCTATTACTATGTAATGATTTTAAAGTCATGACTCATACTTCTTCTGTAACTTTCAAGTAAATAAACAAAGATTTAAAAAAAAGTGTTTAGGGTGTGAAAGTGTATTATAGTTTCTCTTTAAAGATATATTATGGAAACAAGCTGCAGAGAGAGAAGTCTTTCATCTGCTGCTGGGTTCACTTCCAAGGGACCACAGTAACTGGGGCTGGACTGGGCCAAAGCCATGAACTTCGTCCCCCACATAGGTAGCAGTGGCCCAAGTATTTGAATCATCTTCTGCTTCTTTTGGGAGAAAGGGAGAGGACCCTTGGTTCTCTAAAGTCCTTAAAGTAAGGGAAAACAGATTTTGTTAAAATACTTGAAGTATGTGAAATTCCTTTTTAACTTCACATTTCAAACTTAGAAAATTGCACATAGCTAGCACAATTTTTACCTTCTATAATTATTGCTGTTATTAATCATATTTACTTTCTGAAAGAAATGCACACTTTTGGTGCTTATGGCATTAAGTAATGCTGTAAAACTATTTTACTTTAAGTACAGTAAAGCCAGAGTATAAAGCTTAATTCTAATACAGAGATTTTTTTTAACAAATAAAATGTTTTCTCAACGAAGCCCCTTCAGTTGAGAGCCTACCTTCTAGAAGCCAGGATTTACTTCAGCATTATAATGCTGGTGTTTACCAGTCAAGCCTGAACTTCTGTAATCTTTGTTAAATGGTGGTATGAGAACACTAGTTAAGAGACAAGCATAGTGTCCCCCAGGGCTTATAATTTTTAATCAAGAAATTTAGATTAAGTATGATGAAAGCAGCTAGATGCATTTTTAAATTTTTATTTGTATCATGTTTAGTATATAATTACTAGGTAAATTGTAATTATTCTAAAAGTTAAAATAATGGCTAGTGAAAGTGCCTTTTGTGATCTCATGTTAATGTGCCTTTTTTTTTTTTCCTGCCTTCCTGTTCTCCCACTAGGAGTCTACTATGGCTCAGGAATCTCCCAAAAATTCAGCAGCAGAAATTCCCGTGACCAGCAACGGGGAAGTTGATGACGCCCATGATCATGGCTTTAATAGGGTAAGCATGGCTTTCTTTCTCTTAAGTCAAAGAATCATGGTAAACCATGATATCTCTTTAAATATTGAGAGGAAAGAAATGGACAGTATTCAGTGTAAGGGGATGTTTCCTTGAACTGGCTTCCTTCAAGCATGTAGCATTATGTGGGGGTGACCAGGCCAGCCATGTTAGTGTTTTGTTCAGGTTAGGCTCAGGGCAGTGACTGCTGGTGTTATGTTCAGTAGTTAACCAGAAGGAGAGCATGTCTGACAATTTTGGCATATGTCTGAAACCCCTTAATGTGTGTGTGATATGATAATTTTAACTATAAAATATTCGTTAAAATAGTACTGTTCTCTTTTCTTCCAATTACTAGTACATAATTTCTAAATAATTGCTCCTAATTTTGCTGTTCACTTTTTAACATGTCACCTGACTCGGGAAATGAAACTTATTTTTTAATAGGAATATCAAGAATTTAGAGATAATCTGCCATTTCTAGCAGTGTAACCTTGAGCAAGCATTCATTTAATCTTAGTTTTTATAGCTGTGATAAAAATCTTTCATGAGGATACTACTGACTAGTGTATGTTAATATCAGAAATGATAATGATACTTATTTCTGGAGCTGTTTACATTGAACTTCCCCTTTTGTGGCATTTGATACAAGAGTACAGCTTTAACTGTCTTTAATGATACAGTTTCATAATCTTTGGAAAGTAGCAGTTGAAAGATGCTCAGGTTATTTTGTAGTTTGAACAGGATTATCTGCTTTGTATGTTTACAAATAGAACTCTTCAACAGAAAACAATAACCCAGATCTAGATTTTTCAGTTGCAGCACTGTTGATGTTGTGGGTCAGGAACTTGGAACTCGGTGTTGTGGGGGGGTTGACCTATACATTGTGGTGTGTCCTTTTTCTACTGAACACTGATAGTGTCCTGTAGTTGTAACAAGCAACATCTCTAGAGATTACCACTTGTTTAATTGACATTAGACAGTTTCATTCATTCTTGCCTTAACAGTGCTTTTGGAAAGAACTAATAATACGTCTTCAGACTTGAGGTTCATGTCTTAGTCTCTTCTGACGCAGTAATCAAATGTGTGACACTGGTAGTTGACAGAGGAAGAAGTTCATGCGGGCTACAGCTCTGGAAGCAGGGAAGTTTAAGAATGAGTGGCTGCCTTCTGTTTGAGAGCTTCATGTTGTGTCCTTTGGTGAGTGGCATCACGTGGCGGGAATGCATGTGGCAGAGGCAAGTGGGTACGTGTGGAAGAGAAGAGGATGCATGGGCATGCACTTGGTGATATCCCGCTCTCATAAGAGTCAGTGCATTCTCTTTAAGTACCACTCCAGTTTCTCAAGGACATTAATCTATGGGCAGGCATTTGGCTTAGTACTTACAGTGCCAGTTAGAATATTGGAGTGCTTGGGGTTCAAGGACTCAGTGTAGCTGTTGACTCCACCTTCCCATCATTGTAGGCTGTGAGAGGTAGGAGGTCATGGCTCAGGTGATTGGGTCCCTGCCTCCCATAGTGGAGATCTGGGTTGAGTTTCCAGCTCCCAGGTTTGTTCCAGCCCAGCCAGTCCCATCCACTGGGAGCAGACCAGCAGATAGGAACTTTCTCTGTCTCTCATGCACTCCCTCTACCTTTCAAATACATTGAAGAAAAAGGAAATAAAAGAGACATTGATTTCTGTTACAGATCTCACTTCTTAACACCCCAGTGTGGGCTACCACCTTTTAATTAGAGTTTTGGCAGAAGCAGACCATATCTAAACTATAACAAACTTAATTTTACCCAAACTTAATTTTTTAAATATAAACTTTATTTTTTGATGATGTTTACTTAGTTGATTAGGGTCGGAGGAGTCGAGGATTAGGAGAAAGTGGGTGAGATCATTGTTTCCAAATATTCTTTTTCTTCATCCTATGTTAGGAGAAGAGAGGAGTGGTGTCGGGGGAATGTTACACCAAGCCTCGCAACTGCCTCAGTGCTCAGGGATGGGGGATGGCCACCTAGTGTCATCCCAGGGTCCCCAACGTGGAGCATGCTCCAAGGTTTCCACTTGAATGGTTTCAGTAATTTTGAAACACTGTCGATCTCGTTGCTCCAAGAGTGAGGAAATCCTTCCAAGGTCCACTGTCTGACACAGTTCACCTTAGAGTCTCCATTCACCCAGATATTTGCTGTCAAGACCTGGCTGGGGTAGTTGGCCAATTTTTTCTGTCCTCCTTCCTCTGCTAAGATACCAGATATCTTCTGCTGGCTCGATGGACTGCCATAGCCCCCAGGTACATATGGGTATCTGTCCACTGGTCTAACTCACTGAGCAGACACAGTTCTGACATGTGTACTCCATGGTCAAACCACAGATTCTGGGATTCTCCCAGCTGTTGGAGCTCTGAGTCCAGCAGTTCAGTTGGGGGGTCCCCAAAGAAACCTCATCTGAAATGATCCCAGACCTGTCTCATGTGTGCTTGTCAGTATGGGGCCCAACTCAGTCTATCTCCCACATACATACATTGGTAGTTGCAGTTCCTGGGTTGGTTCTTTCTCCAGCCCTGCCTCTTATTTAAACCAAATCCCACCCATCACACACTTGGCACTCACATACACTAGTGTGAACTGCAGCCTAGCCAGAGTGGTCCCCAATAACCCCTATCAGGCCTACCCTAGCGCTGGCTCCTCTGCTTGCCAGTATTTTCAGCAGACTGGTCTAGTCCTATCTCACATCACATTTAGCTCTCTTACACATCAGAGGTCATTGAAAACTAGCTCAACCCAACCGACACCACTGTCCAGCCTGCACTCATGCTGATGGGTGCCACCACCTGTCTAGTCAGGCCCACCCTTAGTCTTGGTTCTCATGATCACCAGTGGAAGTTGCAGCCTATCAGAGAGGTGCCCATCGTTTCCCAACTGGGTCCACTTATATTCCTTGATCTTGTACTCTCCAAGTGGTTCTGTAGTCTAGCTTTACAGGATTTGCCCTCAGTCCCAGCACTTGCCAGCTGTTGCTGTAGCAATGCCCAGACATCCTGCACTTACTCTGGCTCATGCATGCACCAGTGGATATAGTCAGTTAGCCCAGCCTGGCTGTCCCCCTAACCCAGTTCACATGCAGGCATTGTGACCCTGCCTGGCCTGTTCTGCTGCTGGTTCTAGTTCTCATGCTCACCAGCTCACCATTAGGGGCAGTGGCCCAGCAGGGGAGACCTCTACAATCCCCAACCCCAAATGTTGTATGTAATGGTGGATGCTGCAGTCCAATCTGACATGGCCTGCCTCACCTCAGCATTTATCGGCAAGTTTGTGGCCTGACCTAACCCAGTCTACCCTTGGTTCCAGCTCATACTGTTGGGTGGTACAACTTAACCCAGCCAGCCAGCCCCCAGTCCCAACGTGGCTTGTCCTGCACCACGTCCTGATTCTTACATCTGCCAGTGGGTGTTATTAACTGACTCAGCTTGACCTCCCCCAGACCTGAACTGCACATATACTGGTGGGTACCATAAGCTGGCCTTGTTTGGGCTACACCCAACCTTGTTTCCTGCGTTCATCTGCAAGGACTGCATCCTGACAAAGGAGTTCCCTCAGCTCCTCTATCAGGTCTCTTTCCAGTCACAGATCTGACGCATACTGTTGGTCCTTGGTCCAGATTGACTTAGTCTACCTCCTGTCCTGGCAGGAACAGTGGTCTTGTCCAACCAGCCCATTCCCATTCCAGTTCTTACTGTTGGGTGTTACAACCCAGCCACACTTGGTCAACGCCCAGACACTGCTCTCTTGTGGCTTAGAAGGTATCAATACCTCACCCAGCCTGTCCTGCACCCACCCTTGCTCTCATGAGCACCAGTGGGTGCTGGAGTCTAGCTCAGTCAGGCACTCCAGACCCTGTACACACACATGCCAATGGACAATACAGCCATGTCTAGCTCAGATTGCCACCCTCCATTCTGTCTCTTGAGCTCAGCAGCAGGAACTACAAACCAGCCGGGGCATTCCTTAACTCCCCAACCAGGCCTGTTATCCGCCACTGATCTTGTGAGTGCTAGTGGTTGCTCTGACCCAGCTTTCACAGCCTATCCCCTGTCTTGGCCTTTGCCATCAGATGCTGCAGCCTAGACTGACCCAGGCCACCCCCAGTTCCAGCTGTCACTGGCGGGTACTACAGCCTAATCCTGCATAGTTTGCTCCCATCCCTGGCTCATGCATGCCAGTCAGTGTGATAGCCTTGCCTGCCATAACCCGCACTCCATCCTGTTTCCTGCACATTCCAGTGGGCTTGGGTTGCCCTGGCTTGCCAGGTCCAACCCCCTCCAGAACTTTCCCATGCACCTGCTGATGGATGGAGTTGCCTTACCTATCCTGACCAACACCTAGGCCTGAATCGCATGCTCACCAACAGGAGCTGTGGCCCACCAGGGGGGTTTCCCAGATTCCCCCATCAGCCCACCCCTGGACCCAGATGTGCCAGCAGGTGCTAGACTTCCACCTGGCATAGTCTGCCCCTTCTGTTCCAGCTTTTGTATGAGCTAGTGGATGTTGTGGCCTGACCTGCTCCATACCCCATTCTTGTGGGTTGATCAGGGGAAGGGGTAGGGGAAGTGTATGCCTGTGGGTACTGCAGCTTGGACCATCATTCCCTGTCTCCTATCCAGTGCCAGCTCTTAAGCAAACTACTGGAAAGTGTGGTTGCACAGGGGTGGGCCCACAGAATCTGCCCCTAGACCTGGGTCTCTTGCATGCTAGTCAGTGTCATGGCCCAGCCTGACATTGCCTGTCCTTTGTTCTGACTCTCACTGGCAGGTACTGTGATCTAGCCCTGCCAGGTTGGCCCCCAGCCCTAGCTTTAGTGTTGCCTGGTGAGTGGTGGTTGGCGATAACCCATGATAAGTAGCCCAGCTCAGGTCTCCCACAAAGGCTGGTGCATTGGTTTTACCCATAAAGGTCCTCCAGCTTCCCTGCTTCAAACTGCTCTGTTGTAGCCCCCTTGCTTATCTGCAAGTACAGTG